CTTTTTGTACAAAATAAATATTGCATCTACCGAGATCAATTAGCCACAGAAAAAATTTACGAACCCCACAGTTGTCATGGTAACAAGAGCCCACCAGAAGCCTTCCCAGGAACCTCGTAGAAATGGTGGTGGAAATTCTCCAGGGTTGCTGGTGTGATCCTAGAGACGGACAAACAAACAAACTATCACGCAGGAGAAAAAATGAGTCCTTGGATGTTGCTTGGCTAAACTTCATAACTCTTTAACGCAAAAGAGCGGATGCACGCTTTGCGGAGGAGCCCAAAAAGAACTTTTCGTTTTCATATAGTGAATTTTTATTATTCCTTACTATCATATGACCCAAGCAGCCCCGCGTGCACAATCTCATAGAAAACCATTGTGAAAGCTGACATGCGTTGGGCAGGACGGGTTGAAGTGTGCTGGTCCGGAAAATGCTGTCCAACCCTCGGCACACATGGCTTTGTTGAAAAATTAATGAAATATGGGAGTGAGAAAACAAAATTCGCGTTTGTTTTTTTTTTTTATGAAATTAAGGTTTCTTGTTTTGATTAAAAAAATTAAGGAAGAGTTTTTACTGAGAAATCTTTTTTGTGGTTGTCCCGCCTGCACGGCGTAAATCGCTTCCTATTATGGTTGAAACAAAATTTCTAAAATTTCAACATTTAGTGGTCCTAGGAGAAAATTCTTGTTGATTGAGTTTGGTCGGTCTGCACGGGAAAATATTGGCTCTCGGTCATGAAACACGCGCTCCGCGCGTGTACTCGAGTCAAATATCTTCCCATCTAGTTCTACCACTCGGTCAATAAATACATATTATTAATACTAGCTCGACAGAAAGTAATTACTTGTTGTCCTCAGCCTCTCAGAGTAGCCGTTTCGTAGGTCGTATTGGAGTTTTGGTATAAGTCATCGAACAAAGAAAGGAGGAACCCACCACAAACACAGAACCAAGCCAAATTTCATTTTAGGTGACTGGATCTTCCGTCTTAAACGTAGTCCAAATTTTCAAAAAAATAAAAGCAGCTTACCAGAAACCAGATGATAATCCCAGAAAGTGAAGCTGTAACTAGTATAAACACCAACATTGGCCAAGCATTTGCTATTGTTGTAATCAGAATATGAGTTTGAGTCTTGTCCGGCTGTTCATTGTGTACAAGAAGAATAACACGAGGTGCCTTCACAATACCGATAAAAGGCCGGTTCCTGATATGGAAAAGGAAAAAAGTGACTTCTGAGTTACTTTCAAAAAGGTCGTAGTTAAAAAAGGCCCCAAACAGACCCCCAAACACTATCTAGGCTCTGCGAATGGAACCTGATGGATCATCTGGCCTTACCAAACTGATCTAAATTTATCAAATACCTTAGTCCTCCGTATGCATTTTTTTT